AGGAGCTTTAGAACATCCTATAACTAATTTCTCCGGCGGGGCAAATGCATCGGACGGTGAAATACACTATGAACGGAGGAAATCCCGTAGATGAGTGGGCACTTCTGGGCATATCGCCGGCATCGGTCCACCGCTCTCGCCACAGCTGAAAAAAATTCCTTCAGCTCACATACTAGGGGTAATCGATGCCGCTCTAGCGAATGGACGACATCCGGAAGCTGCAGGGAAACGGGAATGCGGGGAGATCACGAAGTGGGCACTTCTCTTTCGGGAATAGTACGGCCGAAACGGGAGAGCAGGTACTGCTCTGACGGTTGATATTGCAGTCAGCCCCTTCATCTGAGCCGAACGCAACACCAGGGGTGGAAAATAGTGAATTATCGTGGTTGCGGGTAAATCACCGAAGTACATACCAATGGCATCTGCAAATCCTCTTGTGAGCTGCAGCTCAGCGTTAAGAAGTTGTCACTGGGGTGCCCAGAGTCCTGAAGCGTGGCAGACCGCCCTCATGACATCCGCGCAGAACGAACGCTCGGACTGTATCCAAATAACACGTTCGCTGCCTGGGATCTCGTAAGTCAGATACCATCGTCACTCTACTGGCTTTGAGACGGTACGCCGAACGGAAGAGCGGCGTCGCGTCAAGCCTCCAAGTCGTCGCGCTCCGCAGAAGGATCAGCCCGCCCCTGGCGAGTTCCGCGTACATAGACCTCTGATAATTCGCGACAGTAGCGTTCGGCGCGGTAGGTGCGTCAGTGTAGGCCGTGAGAGGCCGTGTCCGCGAGTATACAGACCGTGACGCGCCATCGATCGTGTATTCGACTCTCGTTACCTGCTCTAGTCCGGGAATTCGTAATTCAAAGCTGAGGGTTAATCAAGTCAGCAGGAGGTTACGAATTGAGTGTCGCTGGGCGCGCAGCTAGTCCAAGAGCATCGGCAGGTGCGCGTGGCGAGCGGGTTTGGCATTACGAGGCAGATTCGACACGTGAAGAGCGCGCCGAGCAAACAGAAGACAGTGAACCGTTTCTAAGTTAACGCGCGCCTCGGGCTCGCGATGACGGGCGTTGTGCACGGGCTGGCCTTGCACGACGGAAAGAGAACATGGCTCAACGGCTAATCCCGACGCATCATCTCCGCTTTGTCTCCGCTCGCAGAAACGGTTCGGACGCTGCTGAAGAGATGTCTCAAGTCAAACACTCCTCCTCCTCACGTAATCTACAGAAACGCAGCGCATTAGCGAGTTGGAAGTGAATGATGCGTCCATACTGGACGAGGAAACCCTCCAGACGCTGCCAGTCCAACTCAGTGGCATCAAGCCTTGACCCTGACAGCCCTGACGGCTTCATTCGACAATTTAGACCTACTGCATTAACGAAACTTCTCCTCTCGATGCCTCAGTGCCACACGGCATCTAACATCAACATCGGCCGCGCAGCGCAACCGCAACGGAAGCACCTACACTTGAGTATAGTCCTCCTGGCTCGACGCCAGGCGCAACCAGCCATCACATCCTTTTTGGCGCGGGTTAGAGTCGACGATTAAGTCTTCAGTGACTCAGGCGATCATTCATCACCTTTTGCCACCCATTGCCACTATTGGGTCCGACCTCTCCTTTTTCGCCCATTCTGGGCCATGTCTACTCCATCTACTCGCCAGGTCCATGTTCAAATTCTCAGACTGGGATTATAATACAGCATTATTGATGCGAAGCAACGTCCGAGGTCGAGCACTCGTGAATTCGCACAGGTAGCCAACTGCAGCTCCCGACCTCGATGAACACTTATGACTACGAGCATAGCATTGTTGCTGCTCGCCATGTGCAGGACTACGCGTCACGGTCGCTGCAAGTTCTCGGCTTCGTCGTCAGGAACTTCAGGTCATAATAATCGTAAGAGTCAGGCTATCTAGGGGATATGGCAGATCGCAACACGATGGATAAGTTAAACGTCCTTAACCTCCGCTTCTAACCAGTCCCAGAGCTTCGTTGCGGTTTCGACGTTGGCAGCAGCCGGGTTGGCTTCGCCTACACGGGCCCAGGGGATGAGATACTAGGTAGGGAGCACGATGTTAGAACATTTCTAGCGAGGACAATGAGTGGGTGGGATCGTGATGCTTTACCTTGCCGTTCATCTCTGCAGCCTCTGGCGCCGTTGCGGCGTACAGCTGCGTGACGGCGCCCAAAGACTGAGGCGCGGCGAAGAAGTTCTACAAAGAAACCCGTCGCGTCAGTCGTCCAGTCCAAGATTAACCCAACACACGCCAAACTCACGGAGATCTTAGCCATAGTGCCCATATGTCTCGCCAAATTCGTCTTAATCCCACCAGGATGCAACGAAATCGAGACAATCTTATCCCCATACCGTCTCGCCAACTCGTTCGTCACGAGGATATTGCCGAATTTACTCTGGCCGTAGATCTTCCAGTTGTTGAGGGCGCGACGTTTCGGACTGTCGCGCAGGGTTTCGTAGTCGATTGTGGGGTTGAAGCGGTGGCCGATGGAGGAGACGTTTATGATGCGCGGTTTGGAGGAGGGGTTGGAGGCGGCGGTGGAGAGGAGTGTGGGGAGGAGGAGTTTGGTGAAGAGGAAGTGCCCGACGACGTTCTACACGCCGAGTCAATAGTGCGAACGCGCGATGACAAAATGTGGTACGTACGGTGCCGAATTGAAGGTCATATCCGTCGGACGTGAGCAGTTCTACGGGAGGAACCATAACGCCGCTGCCACCCAAGTTATGTAACGCGTGAGAAAGAAGTGTGGCACGGAAACTAGCAAGTCGTACGCACGCGTTGTTGATGAGGACGTCGAGTTGAGACTCTTTACTCGCGAAGTCAAGGGCAGAGCGCTTGACCGCGGCAAGGTTCCCCAGATCCAACTCGTGGAAAATCGGACGCTTCCCCGTCTCGCGCTCGAGCTCGGCTATAGCCTCGTCGGCCTTGGCTTTCGAGCGAGCGGCAAGGTAGACTTTGCCGCCTTTGCGCAAGAGTTCCTAGAACGTCGTCAGCGGCTTGCCATATGATTATATGTACTACGAGCGCACAAACCTTTGTAGTCTCGAAACCGATGCCTGAGTTGCCGCCCGTGACGAGGAAGACTTTGCCAGTGCAGTCGGGCATGTCTTTCGCGGTCCAGGTCGCTTTGGGAGGGAAACCTTCGCTCAGGATGCCCATGGCGCTGCAAGTGGTGTGTGTGTGGGCGGGGGAGAGCTGACTGTCGATTGGTAAGAGCCGACGCGTCCCGTCCGCTTAAATAAACGAGTTACCGGTGCCGGTCGGCGTGTCGCTGGCGTGTCGATGGATGCCGTCCCGAAGCGCACCCGAAGCACATGCTAGATCCCGGACTCGTCTGGCAGAAGCCCTCCACCGCTGGACATGTAAGACCGTACGGTTAGTCGCGTGAGTGCAGCTGCCATTGTTGGTCAGGATTAAGTCATGACCGAGAAAGGCGACGAACCGTACATACGTTCGTCTGAATCTATTACGCAATCCAGAACGCGTAGGGATTCCCGTACACTCAGACGACGGTGGCGTATTGCCTGAAATTGAATGCAGATCCTAAGATATTCGCTCATGATCATTTGTGTTACCGGGAAGCGATCTATGAGAAACGGGAGCATCACGGCTTTGAGACGGTGCAGCGAAACTGTGAGTTCCTGCAGTTCCTGGATCCCGGCGCGGCGTGGCGCACGTAAGCTCGAGAGCGCCCGTGCGCGAGCGCTATCGGACAATCCACAGCGTACAACAAACCCGGAGCGATTGATTTCAGATTACGCATATCGTACAAGGCGTGGACGGTACGGCGGACTCGGACTACTATCTACATGCGAGAGAGTCACGATGCAGCCGCAGGTGCGGCGGGGACCTCCGGCTTCGGCTCGGCTGGGTTGGTGGCCGAAGTATCGACGGCTGCCTTGGCCACAAGCTCCTGAGCAACGGATGATAGGGGCCAATAAGAAGGGAGGAAAGGACAGCGGGATGTGCTGGCGCACCTGGAGCTGCGGCGGACGCGCGCCGAGGACGGAGCCGACTTGCTCGCCGCCCTTGTACATCATGAACGACGGCAGCTGCAATGAATTCTTCATTAGCACACTGGAAAGACGCGTAAAATTGCAGTAACATACGCCGCGCACGCCGACCTCTGCGACGATGTCCTGTCACGCCGGGGTTAGTTTAGTGAGCGCTGAGTAACAGATGACGCAGCGCGGACGGACCTCCTCCGCGTCGTTGTCGACCTTGTAGAACTTGATGTTCGGGTGCTGCTCGGACAGCTTCTCGTAGATGGGCGCCATAATGCGGCACGGTCCACACCACGTCGCCCAGAAATCGAAGATCGAGTACTCGTCGCGCGAGATCTAGGTCACAGGTTAGCCCAAGACGCGCTCAGCGAACGGCGCGCACGATCTCCTTGAAGTTCTCGAGACCCTTGACTTCTTCGACGGGCATTGTAGGCGGAAGGTGGTGGTAAGAGGTCAAGACGCGGTTGGAGCTGAGTTTAGATTGGTCAGACTGATGAGGCACAGATGACACCATCGATCCGATTCCGTTCCCGGTCGCGTTTGCTCCCGCTGATTAGATTCCATGCTTCATCCACGGAGAGAATCGCGTCGAAAGGGACGCAGGGAGGGCTACCTCCAGAACGATACTTGCAACTGTCAATGAGAATCGGAACAAAACTCACAAGCTCTCTTTGCCTCCGTGACGGCTTACGACGGAGACTAGCACCTCAAGCTCCAGATCACGGTCTTCAGGTCTCGCTGTCCAGGAACAGAGAACTCTAATAAAAGAGATAGCACGTCATGTAGAAAGTGGGATCCAGCAGTAACCGCGGAGGTGGGAGTGCGCAAGTTTTGCTTTGACACGGATATCCTAAAATTCGCGTCTTACGATACCAGCCGCCGGCTGCATACAGTATTGGGGTGGAACAATGCATAGGTATCAAGCGCAAGACCAGTAGGCATGGCTGTCAATTATGAATGTCCCCCAGTGCGCGGCGTAACTTTCACGGTCGCGTAGCTTAATGGAAAGCTCTTGCTTCATAAGTCGCCTCCGGGCAACTTTGTATCATCTTCCTGGTTCAACTCCGGGCGTGACCCTATACCTCTGGCTTTCGTTTTGCCGGGGCTGCGTTGTTTGTGAGTCATTCGCTGGGCGGCCACCGGCGATTCGCGCGGTCACCTCAGAATTTCGTCAGACAGACTAACCTACGAGCTGCAGGGACTGTCATTGCACAAATTACACGCTCCCTAGGCTGAGAAGAGGCGCGGAGGCTTTGTTGTCAATGTCTTTTGGCTCACTTGCGGTTGGGCGCTTGTCACGTCTATTACTGTACCTTTTCGACCGTATGCACGGTGTAACGTGTAACACCCACCTCCGTGCAATGCTTATATGACGCGTGTAACGTGTAACATCCGCGTCTTCGGACCCTTATTTGCCTCCGGCGGCTCGCATAAGCCGCTCCGAGAATAGAAAACAGCTCTGGAGTCTTCCCAAGGGCTCCCACTGTGTGTTTCGAATGCCCTCTACCCAGGAGTCCTCACTAAAACACCTAGAAGCGGGCCCCGGACCGAGAACTGGTCGGAGGAAAAATACTTCCGACCGGTGTAACGTGTAACACACCCCTTCGTGCATGCATTAAAGTATGACAAAGCAGCTTATGTAATAGGCGCTCGTGCATCCGGTCGAAAAGGTACAGTATACCCGAGTACTCGACCACGGACGTTCACTAAGAAATAGCAACGCTCCTTCATAACGTCATCACTGGGGGCACATGGCACTTAGAGCAAGCGAGGAGACGAAGTAGAGTCAAGAATCTGCGGGAACGCGATGGCGGCAATGGGTGGCAAAGAGTGATCGCCCGAGTCAGTGAAGGGCTAAACGTCGAATCTAGAAGCTGACGAACGCGTCAAAAAGAGCTGGAAGCTGGTCGCGCCTGGAGTTGAACCAGGAGGGCTATACGATCATATGTGTAGGTGCTTCCAATGAGCTACGCGGCCGTGTAAGAAACTGTACATGAGGCCACTCCACTCCGATAAGAGCACTTAGGCGTCACTGGAGAGAGGGTGATGGTATCGCTAGAGCTGCTCAGAGTCTATGAGTGAAGCTGTCGCGCCGCCATTGTCATAATTTGGGCGCAGGCTCCCCGGGTGTCCATAGTCTGGCTCGGATCCCTCGCGTAATTCTCAGGCCTGGCAGATGCAATTCGATGCGACAGTACCTGGTTTGTCTCGGGATCTTCCCTTGCTTTTGTAATAGGATCGTTCCTGGGCTGTAGAGTCGCGCCGACGGCCGTGAAGAAGGCCAACGGGCAACTGTTTACGCGAGTTTGTGAACGCCTTGGTCAATTCCCCGCCACTCGTCCACGGTCTGGCTATTTGCTACTCCTCTTACATGTTACAGAATGCCCGAGTGCGATGAAGCCACGTGGGACAGCTTTGGGCGGCGTTCCGAGCGACCTCCGGCAGCGCAACTGAATCCGACTTGCCCCTGTTGACCTCTGAATCCCGACGCCGCTTCTGCAGTGGTCATTAGCATTTGTCATGGGTGACCGTCTGCCGCCTTCCGTTGGGCCCCCGACTTCCAAGTCGCGAAATACCTACTTGCCGTCCATCCACAGCTTGGTTGCGCGTTTGTCCTTCAGAATCCACCGTCCATGGCCGCGGATGGACTTGGAGCCACAAGTTGCGAGTCGCTCGGCGTTGCTTCGACCAACAGTGAAAGTTTCAGCTGTCGTATACTCGACCCGAGCCGATATCCAAACCTTTACTGGCCGCGTATGATGGTCGTGGACGTCGGAAAAGATAACTGCCAAGCTATTCCCTGTCCCGACCACGGCCGCACAACGGGTACGTCCTACCTTCAGCAGCATGGCTTCAACCACTAATTTACTCCGCAGGAATTCGTTGACAGCGTCCATACACTCCTTGCGCTTCAGCATCCGAACTTGCTTCGAATCTATGGGACGAGCTCGTCCAGACTCGACACCTTCGTCATCAGCCCCTTTCTCGAACTCACGCCCGTCTTTGTGCGGATTGACGATTGTCATAGCCTAGAACGGCGGCCAATAGTCCGTGCATACTCACACTGCTCTTAATTCGGCGTAACTGAACGCTTACAGGTTCTTGGTGTCGCCCGCGCTCTCGCGTATCTGCATTCTCACGATATCATTCATGGCGGGCTTGACGCTGTACGCGCTGCATTCACATGCCATTCCCAGCTAATTCGTTCACCAGTATCATGTTTTTCTCTCGCCGTCTAACGAGGTGATTCTCGATGGCTTCGCACCGCTTGGCCGACCCGTCGCGTCGGTGGAATCCTCTCGGAGTGCTACGCTTCCAGAATGGGCAAATCCCGTGCAAGACCTGGCGAAGAGCGAGAAGGGACTTGATCCAGAAGCAGACGCATCGGATGACCCGGAGTGGGACCCGCCGTATCAGCCACCTCGAGTTCCGGATTCTGAACTGGAAGAGCCTCTTCGTTCTGAAGTGCGCAACTATTTACGCAGCACGACGAAGGACGGAGATATCTTTACGTTCGGGTTCTTCATCGTCGAAGTACGTCGCGCAGCACGTTCTTCCGACGACTCAGCTTAGCCTTTTCGTTTAGATATTTACCGGGCTTGCGCCGTTTGATTGCGTGTACGCTCTCAGGTTACTGAGAATGGTCATCAACGGTCAACAACCTCGCCATCCCGGGCGTCTTGCAGAGGTTCGCGGCCTCGACGAGCGGCACTGGGACCTCTGCTTGCGATGCTGGGATGTGGGCCCTGGCAAGCCAGTAGCAATGCGCGATATTGTGGCGGCTTTAGAGGCTCCTCGGGACGACATCGTACGATGCCCGGTCCTTTGGAATTTCTCTTACTTGGAAAAGTTCACCGCCCGGATGGCTCCCGATCTGACGCGCCGTGTCCAACGTATGCAGACCGTGGAATCTGGTCGTGACATCGAATGCGAAGGTTTCGAGTTGCACGCGGTCGTTCGTGGAGACGTAAAGGGCGTCCGGATTGTCAACCTCATCCCTCCTCATGCATATCGACGACTGTTGTCAAAGCAGGGAACTAAACGCGTGCGTGTACAACTATCATGGAGCCGACGCGAAACTCGACTGATCGTCGTGCGTGTTCTCTCAGGCGTTCTTATCAGAGCTTGTGGTCTGGAGTCAGCTCAAGCATGCACATATTCTTCCGCTGCTCGGCTCTTACATCGGGACGGGTGACACGCGGCAGTGCTTTGTCGTTCCTCGCATGGCCGGCGGAACATGCGTCGACTACCTCCGCGAGTGCGATAGCCCTGATCGGATGAGGATAGTAAGTCGGTTCGCCTATCGAAGGATGGATGGATTAAACCTGTGCTTAGCTTTCTGAAGTTGCGGATGCAGTCCACGCGCGGTGCGCCATACCATATACATGCAGAAGTCTCTGTCTTACTATTGATCTAGAAAAGTGTTTTCATTTCTACCGCCGGGACAGCGTTCCTAGGCAACTTCGATTTCTCACCCCTCCAACGCCCAGTAGCCAACCGATTCGACGACACGGACACTTGCGAGATCGTCCAATCTATGCGGTGGACGGCACCCGAAGCGACGAGAGACCCCTCCACGCGGTCGGACGTATTCGCGTTCGGCATGTTCGGCTACGAAGTGTGTTCTCAACTGTTGGTCCTTACTTCTGCAACTCACGCTGCTGTTGTCTCAGCTCTTTTCCGGGGACGTCCCATTTCCAGATTGTAGGGCTACTGACGCGGCTCGGTCGATCATAAGGAACGAGCGTCCACCACGTCCTGATATTCCTTCACTTACAGACGAAGTTTGGGCTGTTTTCCGAACGTGCTGGCGGAGAGCAGCCCCTGCGCGTCCATCTATGGAGGAGGTGTCTCGTCGTCTGCGAAAGCTCCGGGCACAAGAGTCACATACTGTTATACCTTAGCCTCATGAGTATCCGCTGTCTTTAACTGGTCAGACAAATAGCACACTAATGGCGCTCAACTCACTTGCAACCTCCAACCTTGTTTCAAGACAAGTATGCGAGTGAAAGACTGAACGGCTGAGGATGCGTCCGTTTCGAATTTGAGTCCTCGCTGTGGACATTGTGCGGTCTTCAATTGAAGCGATGTGGTAAGTATGAGATCGCGCGGGGAGGCGCGGCTGGCGACAATATTTCCATATTAAGCAATCCGTATGCATACTACGGTCACTGGTGCAAGTTCAGCTGAGACCGCTGAGATGTTCGGCGCCCGGAAGCAGCCCGGCGGGAGCGCCTTCCGCTTCCTATCTTCCGGTCATTCGGGGCGCTGGCGGACCTCCGTTCGCGCGTACGGTCAACATGGCTATTGTGCTGTGCTTGAGCTTGTTCAAAAGGCAGGCCCTTGCGCTTTCACTCCGGCCCATACTTCGCTCTGTCTATACCGTGCTCCCGTCATGTCCGACGACCCGCCTTCCCACCCCGCTCTAGCGACTCCTAAACGCGCGGGGCTCGTTCGAAAGGTCCTTGCCCACAAGACGCGTCCATTCGACTCCAGGTTGCACTTGCCGATTCAGCCAAATGCTCGGGATCGTTGGACGTTGTTCCAGCCATCAGTAACGCTCGCACTGCCAGAGGACCGCGCCGACTGCCTGATCTTCACAGGCCGCGTGCGATGGACGTGGACTTCTGAAAAGGTCTCTGCCAGGCTGTTTTCCCATACAACCACGAGTGCTCAACGAGTAAGCATGTGTCACCAACCCACGTCCTGACTGCGCTCTTATACACTGCGCAGGAGTTTGTCGACGCTGTCCACTCGCTAGTTTCATTCCGTCATCCCAACCTCGTTCGTGTATACGGCACGATCACCTCTGGCCTCGACACTTTCGTTATCAGTCCGTTGATAGATGCGAAGATCGTCGTGCAACGCACGCTTGAGTGTCCAACCATTGAACGACAACCGATAGTACGCGTATCTTCACCAGAGTCGGGCCATGTCCTAACGTGTTCTACTCACAAGATTCTATCGGTTGCACGTGCTATCTCGTACCTGCACTCCCAGGGGGGGATACACGGAGATGTCAATGCGGTAAGCATTACCTCTTCATCTTTCGTCCGCTCATCTTCAAGCCAGGACAA